ATACAAGAACTAATGTTTAGAATTGGACATCTGGGTTGGATTTCTTCAGCGATGCTTGGTCTTCACTCGAGAGCTCCTAAAAACAACAGGTGACACGAGCAATGAACAGTCGAGTAGAGAAAACCAGTGGAATAGAAATAAGGTTTGAGAACGGTGAAGTATGAACAAAAACTCACCTTGGAAAGCCGCTAGGGAGGGAGCTGAAGTGGGCGTGGTCGGAATCGGCCGAGGGGATTGCAGTCGTTTCCGACCACGCCCAATCCCCTCGGACACGCCCACCCTGCTGGGACTGTTACTTTAAAGGCAGGTGGCACGATGTATGCTGAAGAAGGGCAAATGTACCTGCTGTAAAAGAATTCTCTGCCCCCAACAAAGCAAAACATAGCGTTCTTGCCGACGAATGGCGCATCCGTAGCGGCCCTTGAAGCCTTCCCCGTCCCTTTCGATGCCTCTCCCTCCACGGCCACCAATTGGCCAACGTAGCGGCTGGTACCTCTTCGTCGAACCCTTGACCGTTCTAGCGCGATACAGAGTCCACGTTTACATTGTTAACGTCACTACCGATGTGACTCGTCCGAGGGGGAAGGAAGTGTGAGACACGGGACTCGCTTCGCAGGTTTTAGACCGTTTACCCTTTTTTTCTTCTCCACCACCCTTCTTTTACAAAATCTGCATTTTATTTTCATCAGTGTTAAATTTTTCCCCCAAACTGCCCTCCTCCGCCCTCGGAATTTACATTCGCACAACTTCCAATGTCAGGCTCCTATGGGAGGTCGAGAATACCTATAAGTCGCCTCAATTCGTTGTATAGGTCACACGATTCCCAATTGAAGTTGAGAACATGGGACACATTCAGGGTCAACCGTCCGTTGGACAAAGTCCAACGAGGGGGTCGTATTCGGCCGACGAAAAGGGGGGGTCGTATTCGCAAGGTCGGAGGCAGCGTCAATCCTACACCAACGGGGTCGTAGTGTGACGCTTTACGCTTTGTGAGTGCTAAGAAAAAAATTTGCCGTTTCACTGTTGATATA